TATACTACACTTTAGCAGACAAAAACAACAACAAAAAAACACGCTGACCTGGAAATTGTAAGATTTTTATTGGAAAAATCATAGAAATTTGAAACCTCATTTGAGTGGCCACCCTGTTTCATACTTGAAGTAAGACAGTTTAATAATTGGCACCTTTTGCATATGTTTTGAAAATCAATATATTTTTATTACAAACAAAAAGAGAAATAAACGCTGCATTGATAAACAATTGCAAGTTTTAAACATTTTATTCAGTAATTTAATGTCATTAGAATGATTGTGAATTTGAGGTATTTTATAGCAACAAGTTCTTTAGTAATAACAGTAATATTAGTAATTTATATTACAGCAGTATTCTNTATTTAGTAATTTTTTTCTATAATACTTTTACATTTTAATACTAAGAACGAAAGCGAAATTAGTGAAGACAACGATGGGAGCCGAAAATGAAGAGAATCTGTTAGGGCTAACATAGAACAACAAAGGGAGCCAAAAATGAAAAGAATCTGTAATTTCACATGTTTTCCATATCTTTCCCTCACTCCCTATTTTAAAAGCCAAGCTTTTGTCGCCAAAATTTACAAGCCAGAGCGCATGCGTAAGCTCTTAACATGGGATTTCCATAGAGAGCCGTTTTTCAATCGACTCTACATTGAGACACTAGTCTTTTGTTTGCATAGCTGCCAAAGACTCTGCAGTAAAGCCAGGAGAGGCATCAATGAACAGTTATCAAATGAGCTTCTAACAAAATAGTATGCTTTTGGCGAGTGAAACTGCAAAGTGAGAGCAAATGCTCTGGGCTCAGAAGAATGCTTTATAGTTGTTGATGAATTTTGCATCCTTCCAAAAATTTGTGCTGCAGGACCGGGTAGAGACAGCTGCAATATAAAATCACAGTGTTGTTAAATTGCAACAATGAAACATTATAAATTGCAAATGGTCATAACGATAATAAAAATAAATTTCAATTATATTTATTATTAAAGAAAATGATAATGTATCACGCATAATGTAAAACTTGTGGGATGTAATTTGCTTTGGTAGTGTATAAGGGCTACTGGGCTACAATAATTTGCATAAAAAAATTCTTATGTTTAGAACCTTATTAATATTAATAAGATCTTCAAAACCAGTATTAAATTCATATCAATGTTTGTCAATCAATTCAATCATAGACTATTTAAAATTTATAAAAAAAAAGAGTACAAAACCAAAAAAAGTGGGTAAAGGTTTTTTAATCAGATATAAATAATAATTAGAATAGAGGGGCAATTCCACGGGTAACTGACTGACATACACAAAGCAAAACAATAAGTATTTTGTATCATACTACACAAAATATACATCTCTTAAAAGATTTTTCCCTCTGGTTTATTGTCTTTTTCTTAGCTGAATCCAATGGCATCATTGAAATTCCAAAATACTTTTTGGATGATTTAAAAAGAAATAGTAAAAAGCATGGTAACTGACTGACATTAATGCAACCAACATGAAACGTAATTCTGTTTCAATAAGAGACTTTTATGAGATTCAAATGAACTTTAGATAAAGTTGCATTAAATTTTGCAGAACACTAAATAAGCTTTCAGCATATGGCATTTGAGTTCCAAAATATTGCTAGAATAAAGAATGGCACTGATTACAACAAACCAGTAATTGACTGACAGCCTGATAACTGACTGACATTTCTAAATTTCCTAATGTAAAAAAAATTTAAAATTTTGCATTGAAATGTAATGAGTAAGTTAACACGTGAGACAAGCAATCAAAATAGGGTTATTATTAGTTAGTGCTCTATTTACAACTTTTGTTTACCTATGATTTTTTTTTTCTATTTTACTATAAGCTTTGGTGATCTTTTTCTCCTCGTTAACTTGAGGTTGACATTTTTGTGGAATTGCCAAGAGTATCAAACAAGAAACAAATTACCTTTAATACACTACTTAAAGATTGGGATATCGATGACTTTTACTTTAAGGTCTGCAAAATTTATTTAAGAGAGGCTACTGTTTTCTTCAACCTTTTCTGCTTATCACTTAATGCTCTAATCTTTTTGGTATCACTTTCTATTTTCTTTTTAACAGTGTTCAGCATTTTACGAGCCTTCGTTTGAGAATTCATATCCACATCATTATATTCACCAATGAAGTGCTTCCTTTTCTCGGTTTATAATACAACCAAAACTAAATCGGTGAACTCCTTGATTACCTAAAATATTCAGTGTTAAATTAATTAAAGCAATAATAATAATGAATAAATACTTTTATGCTGCTTAAAATTAATATATATGAATAGTCTGAAAATGTAAACTATGATCAGGGTTGACGGAAGTAGATCTTTAAGAACTATATTTGCTACCATTCTTAACCTTTTTTACAAACATAAAATTTGAATTAACTCCCTTTAGGCTCACTTATATGTGATATATGCATTTATAACATTGAATAAGTTACTTAACATGGCACTTAAGTTTTGCATTTAAAAGTATATCTAAAGTATATAAACTCATGCTTGTGAAAATTGCAACACCACGAAGGACTTACGCGAGTGAGCTGAAAATTTCAGGAAATGCAAAGTAGAGCATAATATGTGATAATTCAGACCCGTAGCGCATGCGTATGCTGAGCAGCGGCCTCTGAAAGGCGGATGGATCCGAATAAATAGACGGCTGTAGCGCAGCGTGTATGGTTATCGGTGGTTATCTGCTAGTGGTAAACGTTAGCTCAGACGTTATTTATGCCTCTTCGACGACAGAGAGCGAGATTTCAACAACTCACGGAGTTTGAAAGGGGGAAAAATCATCGGCTTTCGTGAAGCTGGATTGTCTCATCGTGCAGTAGCCGCTCGTGTGCAGCGTAACAGCAGCACAGTGATGCGTGCTTGGAAGCAGTGGATGGACGAGTGTCAGACAACTCGAAAATCCGGGAGTGGACCCCGAAATGTTACGTCAGCTCGTGATGATAGACACCTGGTCCGCTGACATACCGTACGGCTGGCGCTGACATACCGTACGGCTCCCTCTAGACAATTGGTAGCTCAGTGGTCAATAGCTACAGGTGTTTCACTGTGTGCTTCATCAATTCGTAGACGTCAACTGCAGCGTGAACTTCGCGCAAGGACTCCTTTATACAGGATCACCATAACGGGAAACCATAGCCGCCTGCGGCTACAATGGGCCAATCAGCATAAGGACTGGCGTGCTGATTGGCAGCATGTCGTGTTTTCTGACGAATCCCGCTTTTATTTGTGGTACCATGATGGCCGCATTCGTGTCAGACGCTCTGCCTGTGAACGCCACCTTCCGGAGTGCATTATCGTACACCACAGTGGACGAACATCCGGAGTTATGGTCTGGGGTGCCATAGCATATCATGGATGATCTCAACTGCTACGAATTGTGGGTAATCTGAACAGCAACCGGTACATCAGTGAAGTTCTACAGCCCCAAGCTGTTCCCTTCCTTCAAGCCTTGCCAGGCGTTGTATTTCAACAAGGTAATGCTCGCCCTCATATTGCTAGGACTGTTCAATCCTTCCTTGCATTGCGGCAGGTACAGTTTCTTCCTCGGCCTGCGTATTCCCCAGATACGTCACCGATTAAACATGTGTGTCATTTCGTTGGTCGGTGTCTCGCTCGTGATCCTCGTCCTGTTGCTTCTACAGACGAACTTTGGGTACGCTTACAAACTATATGGAATGCGCAATTTTCACAAACAGGAGTTTATGAAGCAAGTGTTCAGATTTCACACTTTTTGAGCATCAAAATGTAGGGAAAGGGATTTTAAAATTCCAAATTAAAATTAAAATTCCAAAATTATAAAGCTCCTGTGAAAGCTTAATCCCGAGGGTTAAACAGGAGAGTAGAACTAAGAAGCTTACAAATATTTAAATAGAAGTTCAAATTTTCACATACTATTTAGAAATACAAGTGAGATTAAATAAAAATTAGATAACACTATCTGTACAATTAAAAATAAAAAAAACGAACAAATATATAGCAAAAAAAGAAAAACAGCTAAAATTTATATCATGCAAACCAAATACTTTCTTACAAATAAGATTTTCAAGATCAAATTAGGTTTGAAATTTTAGCACTAAATGCATTAATATATAAAAATGGTAATTTCCTAACAAACTTACTTTTGGGTGAAACAGCAGGCTACGTCAGATATCTTTCTTTTCACCGGAGGCTTTCGCTTCTTATCTTTATTCTCACAGAAGCTAAATAATGTAGAAACTGCATCTTTTGTCAACCAAGTGCCTCCAAATTTGTGATTGTCGTAACAATCCTCAGTAAAATGTTTTGAGGAAACTTTTGAGTATTTAGAAGGAGTAAAATCATCTCTTCGAATTTTCGTCGACCACAGTTTTTTTCTTTTAGCATCCGTTGGAAAACTGGAAACCAAACAATTAAGTTTCAGTGGATAAATATTTTTTTATCAAGAAAATAATTTTAAAAAAAATAATAAAACTAGCTTTGTAAAAATATGAGCAAAGAAAATAATAAAATATAAAAGAAAACTTGAATAAAAAAATTACATAGCATAAAGAGAGTTCATCTTGAAATAGTTTACATTAGAAAACTGGATGATTAGCTATACTGGATGACGGATCACAGCGATCATACTTAACCAAAAATGTAGTTAAAGAGTTACGATTAAATCCTTCAGGAACAGAGTTATTGTCCCAAGGATTATTTGGAGGTACGCAAACTTCTGAAGTCAGACATGGTCGCTACGACATCACTGTTGAGAGCATCAATAGAACTTTTTCAGACAACATATTAGTTTTGGATCAGCCCAAGATTTGTTAATTTTTACCTCGAATACGTGACCCAAATCTGATACGAGAATTGAAATCTCGAGGTATTGAGCTTACCAATGTTGGTCCAGAGATTCCTCCAACTGAGATGCTGATTGGTGCCGATCTTCTAGGAGGAATATTGACAGAAAGAATAGAATTTTTGCCGTCGGGAGTCACAGCCATGGAGACGAAGCTCGGATGGAGCGTTTTAGGCCAAGGAAAGAAAAGCAGTATAAATATGGTATCCTTAAGTATGCATGTTTCAGAAGTACACAAGCTATGGGACTTAGAGTCCTTGGGCATCGACCTACCGCACCATGGTATGGTGGGAGAGAATGGTCCGTAGTATCAATGAAGTTATACGAAAAAGCTTGCGTGAGGTACGAAGAAATGCTCACGTTATTGTGCGAAGCTGAAAGTGTCATCAATGGGAGACCATTTACCTACCTTTCAGATGATCCGAATGAAATAACACCAGCTCATTTCATACAAGACATAAGAGGATCAGAAACGCATGACATAGACATTTTCAACTCCAAGCACTTACTGAAAAGAGTAAGGTATCTACAAAGTTTACGTGAAAATTTACGAAAACGCTTCCAGAAGGATAATTTAGGTGAACTTGTACGAAACCCAAATTCTAGGTCAAAGCAGAAGGAAATTTCTGCAGGAAAAATAGCTCTTATTGGATGTGAGAGCACGAAAAGACTGAACTGGCCATTGGGTTGTGTTGTACTGTTCCCTTGCAAGGACGCAATACGAAGAGTAGCGAAATTACGAGTTGCTAATAGCTACCTCGTGAGACCATTGCAGGGACTGTATCCACTCGAAATGTCTGTCAGTGAGTTTCCATCTGACACAACAGCAAATGAAAAAGATAAACATTTCGATGTCCACTCTGGTGATTTCATGTCTTCAACAACTCCTATCCAAAGACCTCTGAATCCTAAAGCTGAGACTTTCATTCCTATGACAGAGGTTTCCCAACCTGTGAAACTGACTCGTAGAGGTCGAAAATTAGTTCCACGCCAACGTTTTGACTTGTAGACTGCTTATATTTTAAAGTAGGATAACTGATATTAAAATACTTGTTTGTATGCTTACTTGCTAATTTACATTTGTTTTTAGTGAATTGTAAGTTTGTATTGTGTCTAAGCTTGATTGCAATGGAAAAGGTGGGAGTATGTTGGAACTTGTATTATTACTGAAGTTAGCATATGCAGATCTGGCAAGAGAAAGAGAGATGATGTGTATTCTATTAATTTTGTTGACATGTTATACGATATTAAGAATACGAAATGAAGTTAAATTATTATTATACGTTTATATTACGTTTTAGTTACGTAAGATTACGATAAATTAGATTCCGTATAAGCAGCGATTAAGAATCTTTATTGAGTAACAACAGCGTCCATTTAAATAACATTAGAATGCGATTGCGAAGAAAACTCGCTTGCCGTAAGTCATGTGATTTTACTTTGGTGCGGGTTGAATAGGGTTGCTCGCTCTCTACCCTCAATTACTCCTCTAAGCTTGAAACCAAATAATCGATTATTTGATGGTTACAGTAAGAAGAAATGTGTTTTCTGTAATCGGAGACTTTCAAAAACGATTTGCTTTAATTTTGAGGAAAATAAACAGAAACTTTAAACGATAGAGAAAATTCTAAGGAAAATTTAGGAATTGTTTCGGCATTTCCTCTTGCGAGAATAAATTAAAACATAAACAAAATTCGAATCCTATTTTATTACAAACTTGCTCAATCATTGCGGAAAATAAAAACAAGCAAGAAAATGTCACAATTTTTCTTGATAATGACGAACGAACTTTCATAAGAAATAAATTGGTAAAAAGATTAAATTTGCCAATAATTAGAAAAGAAAAATTGTCGATTAATTCTTTTGGATCAGAGCAGCCCCAAACTAGATTGTTTAATGTAGTTAGCATCCGATTACGAAATAGGGAAGATCCAAAATATAATATAGATGTAGAAGCCGTAGAAACTAACACTATTTGTGCAACTCAGCTGCCTTCTCCAAACAAAAACATTGTTAAGGATTACGAATTTTTAAAAACAGTTCAACTCTCGGATGATTTTCAAAACGAAACTAAAGAGGTTTTGATTTTAATCGGATCGGATTTTTATTTTGATATAGTGACTGGCCGAATTCATGGACTTCACAAGAAGTTAGTAGCGATAGAGACTATCTTCGGTTGGTGTTTTTACGGGCACATAAATAAAATAAACAACCTACTCGCTATGAACGTAGTTGTTAACCGTGGTGATGAAACTTTAATTAGAGAATTTTTTGATCTTGAATCAATTGGGATTTTGCCCGACTCTCCTGTTACTGATAACGAAGAAGAATCAATAGTTCAAGAGTTTGAGTCTTCCATTACATTCAATAAACGCTATAAAATAAAATTGCCGTGGAAATTAGAACTGATTGACAATTTAAAATCAAACTATGGTGTTGCCTTTAAGAGACTCCACAACATTGTACACAAATTCGAAAAGAACCCTTGGTTGTTTAAGGAGTACAAACAAACCATAGAATCATATCTTTCAGAGGGTATTATTGAAGAAATTCCTGACACTGAATATTCAAATGATAAAACTATATTTTATCTTCCCCAATGGGCGGTTATTAAAGAAGAGNTTTTATCAACCTCCTATCATATCTTTCAGAGGGAATGAAGAAATTCCTGACACTGAATATTCAAATGATAAAACTATATTTTATCTTCCCCAATGGGCGGTTATTAAAGAAGAGAGATTAACAACAAAACTCCGCATTGTGTTTGATGGATCTTCTCACTCGGCTGAATCCTGTTCGCTAAACGATTGTCTGTACACTGGTCCCAAGTTAACTAAATGATATTTTTGATATTCTAATAAGATAATTTTTTAAGATAGTTTTTGAGAGAGTTAGATAGTTTTTGTTGCAGATTTGAAGCAAGCATTTCTCAACATCGAAATCGCAGGTGAAGATCGAGATGCGACGAGATTTCTATGGATGGAACCTTCCTTTGATGAAGGTGAGCTTAGAATATTCAGATTTACACGAGTTTTATTTGGACTTACTTCTAGTCCCTTCCTTCTTGCAGCAACTATAAAATTTCATTTGAAGAATTATGAAAAAACTTATCCAGAAACAATAAAAATTATAAGAGAATCGTTGTACGTGGACGATGTGATAGGATGTGAGGATAATGTAGATAAAGCTTTTAGTTTCAGTCAGGAAGCTATTAAAATTTTTGAAGATGCGGGTATGCAACTTAGAAAATGGAATTCAAATTCGAAACCTCTTATAGACTAGTGGGAAACTAATAATATTCAGATTGATCACACAATAGAAAATGCAGACTTAATACTTTCTGAACATAAAGTACTTGGGATAGGGTGGAATAGTGACGCCGACATTTTTTATTTCGATACTAAGCATCTTATCGAATTTTTATCTGAAGGGAGACACACAAAAAGATTTTTGCTGAAAGCTGCGGGTCGTGTTTTTGACCCAATAGGATATTTGAGCCACTTTGTAGTAACCATAAAGTGTTTAATACAAGCAGTTTGGTGCGAATTGATTGGGATGAAGAACTCCTTCAAGAAATAACTCGTGATTTTGAGGATTGGTGCAATGGTGTTAAAAAATCAAAAGACATTGAGATACCGCGTAACTATTTAAGGGATGCTCGTGGAGATAGTAGAGTATCTCCCCTCAAAAGTCTTTCATTACCCAGACTTGAATTGATGGCTGCCCTTTTAGCTGCTCGATTGAGCAATAATTTAGTAGAAAGCTTGACGTTTAAACTTACACAAAAATTTTGGACTGATTTATCCATCACTTACTTCTGAATTAGAGGTTTACCCAATCGATTTAAACCCTCCGTAAAAAACCGCGTTGTTGAGATTCAACAACTAACGGATCCTGAACATTGGTCACACTGTCCCGGCAAAGAAAACCCGACAGACCTAGTTTCGAGAGGACTAAAAGCATTCGAACTGATTAACAACACTCTTTGGTGGAATGGACCCTCTTTCCTTTAAAAACATGTTGATAGTTGGCCACAGACTTTTGAAACACCCCCGGAAGAAAATCTGCTGGAATTCAGAAAGAAGAAATTCCTAGTTTCTGCTTTAGTACTTCTTCCAATAATCTAAGGATTAATCCGGAGAATTATAGTTGCTTTTTAAAATTTTTGAGGATAACAGCATTGATCAGACGTTTTATTTCAAAGATAAGAAAACAATTTACCACTAATGGACATCTCACATCATCAGAAATTGAAGAAGCAGAAGAGTTTTGTATTAAATTTGAGCAAAGAAACGCTTATCATTCAGAAATATTGGCCTTAGAAAGTGGAAAAAAAATTGCCAAGAATTCTTCAGTTAGAAGTTTTACCCCCTTTTCGGATGATAAAAAAGTTTGAGGATAGGGGGCCGATTGGAAAATTCGGAATTTCATCTTGAACCAAAACACCCTATCTTACTTCTTAATAAATGTAAATTTACAGAACTGTTGATTAGAAAGGAACACGAAGGAATATTTCATGGTGGTGTTTCTGACACCCTTTCTAATATTAGAAATCGGTTTTGGATCGCTAGGGGTCGGCAACAATATAAAGAAAATGATAAAGAATTGCATAATATGTCGCAAATATTCCGCTCTACCTGCAAAACAAACAACCAGTCCCCTACCCAAAGATCGCCACCATTCTCAGTTTGCGGGGTGGACTTTGCAGGTCCTATATATGCTAAAACATCGAATTCACCTGAAAAAGCCTATATATGTTTGTTTACTTGCGCAATAACAAGAGCGTTACACTTAGAATTAGTTTCAAATTTAAGTACAAAAAAGTTTTTATTAGCCTTGCGTAGGTTTATTTCCAGACGAGGAAATATCCAAACCATGTATAGCGACAATGCAAAAACCTTTAAAAGCGCAAATAGAGAACTTAAACTTATTTTCACCTTGATTCAAGATAAAATTTTGTCGCAAATAAAATAATTAAGTAGAAATTCATTATGGAACGTGTAGCATGGTGGGGAGGGTTTTATAAGAGGTTGGTGATTTCGGTGAAAGAATGCTTACGCTAGACTCTATCTAAATCTCTTCTTCCTTTTGAGGAATTAACTACCATTTTATCAGATATAGAGTGCGTGTTAAACCAACTCCTATTAAGCTTTGTTTATTCAGACTTAAATGAATCCGAACCTCTGACTCCTGCTCATTTTTTATTTCCCGAGAAGAAAATCGATTCACTCTTTGAACAGTCAAATCATTCTTCGTTAATTAAAAGAAAAGTGTTCCATGTGCGACTTTTCAGAACTTTTGGACCAAATGGAAAGACCAAATGTATGTTCTCCTCTTAAAAGCAGCGCATCGGTTGACAACTCCAGAAAATCAAAGGGACATTCAAGTCCAGGACGTTGTTCTAATCGAAGGAGCCCAGAAGAATAAACTACTTTGGAGTTTTGGAATAATCCAAGAGGTCTACCCAGGACGAGACGGAAAAGTCCGGAGCTGTCTCGTAAGGACTAATGGAGCCCAAATAAGACGTCCTGCACAACTGTTATATCCTTTTGAAATTTTAAATAATACTTAATTTAATTCATGAATGAGTTTTAATATTTTTTTTTCTTCTCCTTTACAGCTCTGTAGTTTATGTAATGGAACTGCGTTCCAAACTATTCCTTTTATATAATAGTCTTAGAAAATAATTGTTTAGAATAATTTAGTTTCGAGTAAGTGTTCTAAACATAGAGAACTGTGTCAAATTTATGTGTATGTTTCAATTTTTCACTGTTATTTGAATTGAATCCTAACTAGATATTATGGACGTCCCCGTCCATGGTGGGGAGTTTGAGGAAATATACTTCTTGAACCACCACTAGATGGCATCGTTAATTGTCAATTGTAACCGTAACTGTCAAAAGATTCTTGTAAAAAGACGCCCAGACTTTTTAATGTCGTCTTTGTGTATTCATTGTCCTGTATTCATCATGTTAAGATAATATACTATTTTTTGTTACTTACCCCTTTGGCTAGTTATTTTGTATTTAAGTAGTTTTCCTGTATTTCAAGAAAACGAGATAAATTCACTAACAGTTTAACAAATCTTCAGTGTAATTAAAAACCCGATAGAAATAATTGAAGTCGAAAGACAAAAATGGGACAAATATGTTATCGATATTGTTGCTGAATTGTCGCCATAGTATTTACAGGTTTGGGGAATTACTTGAGAGTCCGCTTGTGCGTCTAGTGAGTTGGGTTCGGTGAGATTCTTGCACTCTCATCAGGGATCTGATTGTCAAAAAAGAGGAAGTCTAGAACTGTAGCACTAAACGTGCAAAAGAAAAAATTATATGAATTCAATAGCCAATCTGATAATGATTACATAATTATCTATTCAAATAAATATAAATAAATGGTACTTATGTTCTTAAAATAATTTTTTTAAATAATTTAGATAACTTTGAGTAATCATGCATAGACACGATGTGTATCATCATTTTAAAAAACATTTCTTTAATTGTCAAAGGACCTTTGCTGACTTTCTCATCAGTTCTTTGTTTTTTTCGATGGTCTTTCATTAACATGACTGATCTGTAGACTACGTTTTTCGCACAATTTTTAGAGGCCTTAAATTTTAATTTTAAGTGCAATTCTCTCTGAAATTTGACAGCTTTTGCTGATATTTTTTTTTGCAGCCTCCTTTGGCGCCAGTTTCTTTTTCTTATTGCAATTAACAAGTTTTTTTTATTAAGATCTCTATAATTCCGTGAAGCAGAAATCATGTTTTTACATAAATTTTTATCAACTTCCTCTGTAAGAAATTTTTTTTTCTTGAATTTTGCGTGACATTCGACAACAGACAGATTGCGTGACATTAGCTCATATTTTATAGTTTGTATAGCATCAATAGATTCAACACTCAGTCTATTAGATTCAAATGTCACAAAGGAGTTCATAATGCTGAAGCTTGACTTCACTTTAGGACCATGAAAGCAGGTGAGAATGGCACAGGTCATTTTAGACAACAGAGGGAATCTTTTGTTTTTGGGTTCCCACTCAATCTTTTTAAAAAAATTCAAGGACTTAAAATCAAATTTTTCAAGGACCTATTCGATATTGTTAAACGCTAAAGTACATGTCAACCAGATTTTACAATTACGTAGAAGCAGAAATTGTATATTTTTAAATCATTATGCTTATTTCACAACAACAAAAAATTATTTATTAAATTTATCAGCTAATAATACCAATTGACACAGGATAGTAGCCAACATTTAAAACTAGCTTCAGTGAAACTTTTCATGACAAATGAATTAGATTTAATGAAACTGATTGAATGAGCAATGCATTACATTAAACAAGCATAGTAAATAATTGATAAAGTTTGTGTAATTGCACGGTTTTTAAAATATAAATACTTTTTTTAATATGTTAGATCAAATTTTAGGTTACAGGAAATGTATATAATTAGATAAATTATCAAAATATATCTATTTAACATATCTGTTTAAATTTTTATATCAAATTTTCTATGTTCTTACTTAAGAATATCAGTAATGTATTTTGAACATAATAAAATCTATTGTAGAACAATATTTTACAGATAACTAAGACTTACCAAGCTTTATTTTCTTTAAAATATATCCATAAAATGTAAATTTTGTGAAATGCCTTATTT